AGGGCATAAAATGAACTGGTTCCAGATGGAAGCTGGTGCTGGGGGAACAGACTAATTATCTCAGAGCTCCACAGAGACTAGATGGAGACAAGTAGGCCAGACCTCCACCCTGATGCAAGCCGGCAGCAGTGGAGCACCTCGTCTCTGTGGGGTATTAGGGTGCGGTGACACAGTGACATCGTTGGCGAGCAAACGCCTGACAGATGTACCGGCTCGTGTGTAGTTACACAACATATTGATAGACTGCACCTGTGCAAAACAGCTAACCTGTGTGTTATGTCATTACTTTTATCACCAGTATTTAGACACATCCCACAATCACAGATTCACTTTGATGGGATGAGTGCACACTGACATCTTTCTTGACATTCATGTTAAAACATGGTGTTGGGCTTTAAAACAGTCAGCTGATACATGAAGGTCGCAGCGCTGACACAGGTAAGTCACGCTAACACGGACCAAGCTGAGGTCACTCACCGAACCACGCCTGCTGATCTCCTTGAACCTCGATGGCCAGGCCGAAGTCTGCCAGCTTGACTGCAGCGCCCTTCAGCTTGCTGGCCAGAAGCAGATTCTCTGGCTTGGAGTGAAGAACAGGAAACATCAGCATCCTGCAGCGGCTCAAGACAGGACTTTACAATGAGGCTCAACATGAATCAAGACTTTAGCACAGTTTGGTTGCTAGCAGCTAGTAGGAGGAGCTATCACGGCATCATCAAGGACTGATGTCAGAGAGCGTCCGGGACAGACTAATGGCTGGGCTGGAGGCCAGCTGTAACTGGAGGCCTCTGCACACAAACTCAGCACTGACTCATGCTGAGCCCGATCATAATCAGCCTCAGTCTGAGGTCGCTTCAGCCCGGCTGCACGACTCTTTCAATACGAGCGAGCCAGGCGGGGCCTGAGAGCGGCCGCGGAGGACACGTGAAGCGCTTGTCAACATATTCAAAGCAGTTTCCTCGATGTCAAAACGACAGACGCACACAACAACAACACAAGCTGCTGTTGATCACAACACAAGCTTGTTGTCCAACCACACCTCAGCGTCAGTGAGAGCCAATCACTCATCAGACGGAGTTTGTGGACGACGCCCACACTGAGCTGAAACATGACAGCAACACCTGCACTCTGATCACAATCACTGTGTCATGCTCATCTCCACCTGGATGACGACAGCAGTCTGCCACAGGTTCATCCTTCAACAGCTGCATTCACACATCCTAGGTTCATTTTCCCGTTCATCCTCCTCTCAGGTATCTGAGCCCCGCCCCCTGATGTCCCGCCTCCTTTAATGTTGGCTGATGTGTCTTTGACCTCCAAACACCGGGTCAGCCTGACCCTGGTCTTTCCACCTCTGGATGCTCACTGCAACCGTCAGTCGTTTGGAAATTCTTCTGTAACCAACCAGTGAGAAACTGGTGAAGGTGTTGAGAGCTCACTGGTTTTGGTTATATACGTGACACCTTGGCCATGAGACGCCTTTTAACAGGCCGGAGTTGGGACCAGCTGATTGGAAGTAACTGGTGGGACTGCATCTACAGTTTCCTTTGCTCGTGTCGACTAGATGGTTTGAGCAACATCAGGTCAACATGTTTGCCATCAGTGCATCACTGATATTCTAACCTGCAGTATTTCAAGCCCACACTCGCTCCAGGTCCCATCCAGAGCTACCAGATCAGCTGTCAGTTGTTACAACGCTGCCATCTCCCACCGGAACAACAGGCCGTTACGCCAGGCTGCTGCTCGCTGACTTAGCTCTGCTTTCAAAACGCCACTAACAGGCAGACTAATAGAAACTGCTGGACTTCCTGCTGCCACCTGAGGCTTCCTGTCGGACCGTGTACAGAGTCAGCGGGCCTCCTCTTTCACCGGGTGTTTAAGCTGCTGCCGTCGGGCAGGAGATCGGGGCTGCTGAGGCCCTAATCAGTGCTAACAGCTGACCTGAGTGGATGCCTCCCTGGACCTTTCTGGGGGTAACAACAATATTTATAACAAGGTGCAATAAACATGCACTTTTTTAGTACTTAAGTTGTCCTGTCCTGCTGTACGCAGCGCCGACGTGGGACAGGTCTCCAGGTTCACTGTACGACTGTGCAATGACAATAAATCTCTGAGGGACGAATCCTGGAACAGAGATAAGAGTCACTGTGATGCCAGAGCCATGAGCTCCCTCCATCCTCGTGCCCACTGGTATATACTAACTGTAGCACTGCTTTTCTGTACTCAGTCATCCTCGCCCGCGGAGGCTAACGCTCAGCCACTGACAGCTCCTTCTCTTGGTTAGCTGAAACGTCCTCTCTGG